AAATGTTATGCAGTACTTAGATTTTAGGAAAAGTACAGATTCAAGTGATAATTAACATGTTATGAGCTATTGATAACTGGTATTTCATTATCACCATATTGCTACTGTGTGATTAACGGAGTAAGGGCTATTTATACATATTTTGACCTTTTCTTGGTAATTTATGCAGATTGAAAGTGCCATTTGCAATGTGTAAATTACATGTTCTGTCTTTGTTCACTTCACAATATTTGACTTTTTAAATATTTTTTTTTTTAAACTTTCATTACCATGAATCTGGAGGCATGCTGCTTTAATAAGTTAAATAATTTCTACCTATTGTTAACCTCTAAAACAAAAATTCCTGATATATTTACTTCACCATGTTCCCTTTACACAAAAAAGGGTAAATATTTTCATGACTTGTGAGCAGTTATCATAAATTAACACTATCTAAAAGGAACATAAATAAACAATATAAGATGCCAGAAAAAAAATTGACTTTACCACAAAAGTTTGAAATTACATCAATAAATATAAATTGTAGTGAAATATAAGCCCCAAATATACTAAACATAACTAAACATTGTTTACCTTGTATTTTCTGTAGGGGGCTAATATTTTACTGTATTTATCTTCTAAACAGATAAAAATTCTAACTCCTATGATTTCTTTTTACCCATCCTATATTATTTCTCATACCTCAGTGTGTGTAATTATAATTTCACATTCTTGCTTTTGAAGCTTGCACCTTCAAGAAATAACATCTTTCTAACAGTAGTCAGTACTACATATTGCAGGAATATACAACATAAAAAAAAATACAGATTAGTTGATAACAAGTAAATAAAAATTTACTCAACTGATAATTCTATAAATACACTTAAAAACGTATAAATAAATCTACAATATTTCATTCAAAGTAATGAAAACAAAATCGTATGCCATTTTGTAAATAAAGATTAACAAAAGGTAAGTATTAATAAAACAAACAGAGCTTCATATACCTTTGTATGTAAATTCTACAAAATGAATATCAAATTATTAACAAATTACAGAAACAAGGTCTGTTTAAATAGTTTACCTAGCATTTGTCACCAGTATAGAGCCAGGCCAATCTGCACATATGTGCAATCTGACTAGACTCTAGACTATTGGCTGACCATATTTATATTTTCATCTTGATTTTCCCATAATTGATTAAGAAATAACATATCCTCAACACTGATTTTTATCTCTATATAAAATAATAATTACTGTTTGGAGTTTGGATGCGAGGAATTATATCACAAGGACATAGCTCTCGTGATGATATGATGCACATCTGAACAACATACATTAAAAGATATTAAAGATTAGTAATGTATGCTTACTTTTTCAATTTTTTTTCTTTTTTGTAATTTGAAAAGAATTCTGTGAAGCACTAATGGAAGTGTATACATACAATAAAAGAGTGGTATAGCTATGTGGTTTATAAACAGTTTAAACAGTTTGTTACATTAAAATATACATATAAATTGTGCATTCAAAACTATAATTAAATTAAAGAAGATATCTTGGAACAATATCAAATTTCATTTTCTTTTAAAAAGTTTAGAAAAGAAATAATAAATTTACTGTAATGGAAAGTAATGTTTTTGTTTAAACATCCATCTATTTATCTAATTTGCAATCATCACAACCGTTCTTCATGAACAGGCTCAATCAAACTGGACCTGCAATATTTTCAATTTTGCCATTTTGGGCATTCTTTAGGGATTCTGTTTTTCTCTATTTTAACCAAGATGTAAAAAAATGACACAATAATTATTATCAAAGCAAATCTTACTTGCGAATTTCTATTTTCATTCAGTCAAAAATGATTCATTTCGTTTCATCTTAAAACACCTTAAGATGACTAACTTAAAGCCACAAATTGTAAATAATTTAAATACTAAATATCTTCATAACATAAGGAGAAAAAAATAATTGAGCAGAATTTTAATCAAAGAGGTAACTGAGTAAAACCTTATCCAACATAAACAGCATAGCATATTATTTGAGTCCATACATCTATAAAGAATCTTTAGAAAAGAACTTATAATTGGTACTAATTCCGTCAAGAAAACAATGCTCACAATATTCTTTAACACTAATTTTGATGTTTTTAGGAAATTGAGATCACTGAAATCCTGAAATCTTACATCATTCTTTCACTTTAATGTCTTAATCCGATTACATGCATAAAGATATATATGTAAATCTAACGAATATAATAGAATAAATAGAGGATATTCAAGTTTTTTCTATAAATACATGATTTATTTTCATCGAGTGGTATGAAAATAAATATTTCATGAGTGGCGGTAGCCACGAGTGAAATATGGTAATTTTCATGCCACAAGATGAAAATAAATCATGTATTTATAGAAAAAACTTGAATTTTCTGTTTATTATGTACATTTTTCTCTTTTTTGTGATGAAATTTGAAAAACTTTCCCTTAAATTTTGTGTACTGGTAGAATTTAAAAGAAAGTAGTCCGGCAAGACACCAGTGAAAATACGGAAAATATGTTTCACTGCAGTGAAAAATAAATTTTTACAGTGAAAATACGGAAAATGAAAATACGCATTTTATTTCATCAATATTTCTCAATATTTCATTTATAAGTATATAATAAATGTATATATTGACAAAATATCAAGGGCTACGCACAAAATAGTTACAACTTAAAAAAAAAATTAAGATACAATCACTTTGCACAAAGCTCTCATTATATATTGACAACTATTCTAATTTTTACAAAGTCTTCTCAAAATATCGCTTGGAGCTATCACATTTTATCTTTACAAACAAGCAATTTTTCTCCTTTTCTTTTAATTTTATAATCTTACTATCTATAGTGATAACAATAGATGTGTTTTGCTGTAACTTAATGTTTAAATCATCAAAAACAAGCAATTATCATAGTATTGCAAGCAATCCATAAGTCGCCTACCGGTTAGAACCCCAGCAACATTCTGATTTCAATTTTACCAGTGAATGAATGACATGAATGAATCTTTTAAGTTCTTAGTTTGTCTATTTTACAGTAATGTGTTAAGTTTCCCTGCCTAGTAAGGAAATTATGTTTATACAACCTTGTCATATTATTATGATGTGGGATTTTAAAGTAAATCCTATAAGGGATGAAGAAGTTGGAGTAAAAAATACCAATTTCTCGAAAAAAATCTAAGTTCAAGGGGGACATAATTCTGGAAATAGTCTTGCTAGAGTATTTAACCTTCTCAAAAATGTTGAGTGATAATAAGAAACATATATATGAAGTTTGAAGTAGATACATTAGGAAATAAAGAAGTTATTTAAACAAGAGGGCCATGATGGCCCTGAGGTCGCTCACCTGTATATAGCCCCCCCCCCACCCCCGGGCCAATTTTTACCCAAGGGCTTTTATTTGTTTATTTGAACAGACTTGGTAGACACCCATAAGAAGATGTTTCATGCTAAACATCTAAGTTCTAGCTCATTGGGTTTTTTAAAAGAAGATTTTTAAAGTTTTTACTATACACATATAGTTAAAAACAATGACACCCCTGGGGCAGGGCCAGTTTTGACCCCCGGGCTTTTATTTGAACAAACTTTGTAGATATTTACTTAAAGATGTTTCATGCTTAATATCTAAACTCTAGCTCTTTGAGTTCTTTAAAAGAAGATTTTTTAAGTTTTTACTATATGCATATAGGGAAAATCAATGACCCCCTGGGGCGGTGCCAATTTTGACCCCAGGGCTTTTATTTGAACAAACTTGGTAGACACTCATTAGAAGATGTTTCATGCTAATAGGGAAAATCTATGACCCCCTGGGGCGGGGTCAATTTTGACCCCAGGGCTTTTATTTGAACAAACTTGGTAGACATTCACTAGAAGATGTTTCATGCCAAATATCTAAGCTCTAGCTCTTATGGTTCTTTAAAAGAAGATTTTTTAAGTTTTTACTATATGCATATAGGGAAAATCAATGACCCCCCGGGGTGGGGCCAATTTTGACCACAGGGCTTTTATTTGAACAAATTTGCTAGAGACTCGCTAGAAGATGTTTCAAGCTAAATATCTAACCTGTAGCTCTTTGGTTTTTTTAAAAGAAGACTTTTTAAGTTTTTACTATATGCATATAGGGAAAATCAATGACCCCCTGGGGCGGGGCCAATTTTGACCCCAGGGCTTTTATTTGAACAAACTTGGTAGACATTCACTAGAAGATGTTTCATGCTAATTATCTAAGCTCTAGCTCTTACGGTTCTTTAAAAGAAGATTTTTTAAGTTTTTACTATATGCATATAGGGAAAATCAATGACCCCCTGGGGCGGGGCCAATTTTGACCCCAGGGCTTTTATTTGAACAAACTTGGTAGACACTCACTAGAAGATGTTTCATGCCAAATATCTAAGCTCTAGCTCTTAGGGTTGTTTAAAAGAAGATATTTAAAGATTTTTCTTTCGGTTGCCATGGCAACCAGAGTTCTGCATGGAATTAAATTCTTTGAACAATTTTTAAAGGTGACCACCAAAGGAACATTCCTGTGAAGTTTGGATGAAATTGGCTCAGTGGTTTATGAGGAGATGTCATTTAAAGCAAAAGTTTACTGACGGACGACGGACGGACGGACGGACGGATGGACGCCGGACGAAAAGCGATCACAAAAGCTCACCCTGTCACTTTGTGACAGGTGAGCTAAAAAGACAACATTTTTTTCTCATAAAAATTCTAAGTTCAAGGGAGGTAATACTGATAATTTTTCTGCAAGAGTTGTAAACCTTGTCACATATGATGTGGTTGATGACCAGAAACTTATATTTAAAGTTTGAAGTAAACACCTTAAGAAATAAAGAACGTATAGTGAAAAAGCTGAAATATTTAAATTAGAAATCTTGAAATTCAGGCTATTTGTTGCCATAGCAAACAAAATTTTCAACATAGGAAGAAAAGAAAAAGATGTGCATAATCTCCAGACTGCCATCTACCCATATTTCAAGTTTCATAAAAATATTTTCAGTACTTTTTGAGTTATCACTGGATCCAGTTTATGTGTTAAATTTGCCATATTTTCAGACTATTTGTTGCCATAGCAACCAGAATTTTCAACATAGGAAGAAAAGAAAAATACGTGCATAATCACCATACTGCCATCTATCCATATATCAAGTTTCATAAAAATATTTTCAGTACTTTTTGCGTTATCGCGGGATCCAGTTTTGTGGACGGACGGACTGACAGACGGATGGACAGACGGACGAAGGGTAAACCTAAAGTCCCCTCCGGTTAAACCCGTAGGGGACTAATTATACAATACATCCAACAGATTTTAAATTCATTATACCAGAACAGAAAATAATGTACCCTTCTACTGCAAGTTGTGGAGCAGTAGAGACTATCATTTGTAGAACAAGTTTCACTGTTAAAGTAAAATTACAGAGCTTATAGAATATAAACCTAAATACAATGTGCTATTCAATGAATAAGTAATCTAAATATAAAGTGTTCCGTGTCTACTGGCCCCTTCATCACCAATATCTGGACCATATTCATCCTGAAGTTGAAGCTGATTTACAGATGCTGTTGCCATGGCAATATCTGGCATTGTGTCACTAAGTGTGCTGCGATTACTACTTAAGGTGGCACTGCGACTGTTGTCATGGTCACTGTTTGGACTACTGGACGGAGACTGAAAAAGTCGTAAAATCAACCTCTTAAATAATGACAAATCATTGTGCGAACTAAAGTCACAATTATTAATAACAGTTAAATTATTTCCTATTCACTCTGATTATATTTTAAAACCTACAAGAATAAGGTGATATCCCATCATCTTTTCTATTCCCATATTTTACCTTGAATACTTGAACTTTATAATGTCACTTTTAATGCATGTGTAGTTCTATATAATGGCGCATTTTTAGGTTTTTGTTTTTCTGGTATATCCATATTTGAATAAATCTACTTCCTTTAATTAACTATACTACTGAAAGTATCATAAAAGGGGGTAATGAAATTTCAAATTAGTTACAGATATTTGTGTGAACAAGCATGTCAGTAAATAGATAAATAATTCAGCATTTTATAGAAATTTGTAAATGACAGAAAATAAATTTATATATACCTCTATCAGTGGTGGTCTGTATGTTTTTGTAGGTGATGACAATGGAGAAACACATTGAACAGGCTTTGTTGGTGCAGTTTTACGTCTACGTAATTGAAGGCGAGGACTGGGTGGTCGTTTGGACGGGGTTGCGTGATAATTTCTGTCAACAAATCCTGGGACACGTTCATTATCATAGTAATATTGCATGTTCTGAAGTACATCTACTGTAGCATCTGGCCAGCCAAACTCGCGAACCACTCTAAGCTTAATCTGACACATGACTGATCGTCGGTCAATGAATGATTGACTGAATGCCCTCTGTACTTGTGGTAATGACTGGAGTTCCTGCTCCCTCTGTATCATTAACCGCAACATCTCAGAAGTAGGCACTAAAATTATTGTTAGAAATCTGTCATCAATAAATGCAGCAAAAGATTAACAAAAACTTCCAGCATCCTAATCAAATTTTATTATCAAATCTACTCATTTCAAAGAAATATGAAATTTGAGTGATATGATATATTAAAAGCAATCAATACAAAAAGAAATTTAAAATTGCAGTAATGAAATCATTAAGCATAAAGTGAAAACTAATTGAAAACCAATTTAAATTTTCCTTTTTAAATCCCTCCCGAAGTTACATCTTATTACTACCTTTCCCAAGCAAAAGAAACTTTTTACCTGAAAAAGAATTACGGAACACATGTTTCTATACAAACCTGGTATGGTCCCTGATACAATGTCAATGTTATGTAATGGTGAAGGATTGTAGGTCATGAACTGTTGTATATATTGTGGATCTTCTACCATGTACAGTGTGTCAGGTATAGAGGATATCTGGATTGGTCTGACCCGAGCCAATTCGTGATCCTGACCAGACATCTGTCTGTCTTCTAAGACACTCTAAAATTTATAATAAATTTTTATTTTATTATTTATTTTATATTTTTTTTTTATTATACTGACACATTAAATCCTTTAAAGTAACATATAAATATATAAATATTTTCATTATTTGTTAATTATTCTAATTTTTTACATATGCAGTTTTTGCATGCACTTGCCACTGTGACATTGCAATTGCTATCATTGAAAACACTCTTTACATTAGGTTTCCATACAACCAATTTTCAGAGGTTTTTCAAATGTTTGTATTTATGGTCAATTAGTCCATTATGACAATTTTGTAATATTGTCAATCCTCTACAAATGTCACCCAGCATTCCTTCAAAAGGTTCCAGACTCCCCAGGTCAATGATCTAGCAATTCACTAACTAAATTTCACATTTATGTTCATTTTATTTTACATTGTTCTGCAGTGAAAATCTTTGGTTCAAAGTTTAGGTCAAAACAGGAATTAATTAATAAGGTTACTTTCCATTTTATTTTAGATTTTTAGGCAACCAACAAAAATTGAAAAATCTTACTTTTGCTTCTTCATAATAAGGTGTAAAGAGTCTTGGTCTTGTGAACATCCCGCTGTTTTTTCCAGGTATCCATGCCGACGCAATTTGATTCGTTCCTCCATCATCACTGATCATATGACTAGGCGGGGTGCTCACCAATCCACGCCTAATTGCACTTGTCAGTATATCGCTGTTGTGTGGTAAGACATGATCCATTCTGACTAATGGCAGTATCTCAGCAAGAATATCACGTAGTTCTACATCATTTAGATCTCTGCGCTTAACCCCTTTCTTACTGACACTATGAGCAGTATGACTTAATAAATTGGGCTCTGAAAAATCATTTACGTAAGTCATTGTAACTGACTATTTCATATGATAATGAAATAAAACATAATGACTTAAATTGATTTTTAATAGTCTTGACTGTCATGTGATTGATAGCATACATTGTAAAGCCAGCAAATATTAACAATTCTGACTAAAATAAGTATTTATACTCTTACATGTATTATAAAATCAATAATAAGAAACAAATTCAAAGCTTTAAATTGATTGTCAGTGGTCATTTTTAAGACAATAAATCAGAATATGTATTTATTGAGATCTACAGAACTTAATATCTAACTCATGGTAATCACCTACCATACACAAAATAGTAAATTTTCTTATTGAGAAAAAAAATACAGCTTCTTATCCACGTGTATCGATTAAACTCAGAACTAATAAATTAAGCCAAATGTATCTTAGATAAAATGTTGCAGGAATAGTAGTAATACAATGTACATGTGTACATAAGCAATGTACATGTCCATACTTAAAAAGTAAGCTATACCTCTCTTCTCAATTCTCCGCACCAAATGATGTTCTCCCCATTTCATGACTGCTGTTAATACATCAAGTTCCCCTGCCTTCAATCAAATATACAAATTTACTACACATAGTGTAACACAAACATGTTACCGAGTAAAATCAAGTGTCCCTTTTAACTTGCACAATGAAAAAATTGAATTTGATGTAGTACAAATATGTAAAGTGCAGTGTATAATGTAATAATACACTCAACTTACTGCCCTGTATCTTTTATAGGGGATGAATTAAAGAGTGTTAAAATATAGAGGTAAATTAGTAATTTCAACAAAGAAACAAATAACTGCCTTTAATCTCACCAGGAATAAAGTAGAATTCTGTTACATTGCAGAGTCTAAGATATATTACCTTTTAAGACTGACATACAGCTAATATGACCTAAAAAGGAGGAGCTGCAAAAAATGACAATTTTCTAATGACGACCATACCACAGGCATTAGACACGTATGTCTTAAATTTATATGCTTATAAAATAATATTTTGTTTAAATTTAGCATATAAGCTCAAGGTATATTAAAAGTGTGTCTAGCACCTGTGGACTTTCCTATAAAATGAAACCATACCTGCAGGAGATCTGAACTGAGAGTTTCAATGAGATGAGATTTGCTGAGTTCAAAAAGTACAGGAGAGTTTGCCACTTGTATAAACTCCTCCCTAAGGAAGTGCAATGCCTGGCGCGATACCCAGCTGGACCCATGAGGCTCTGCACTCCATGTCAACACTGAGATAAGGTTGTCTACAGTGATATTATCAGCAATGATGTCTTCACAACCTTTTGAAAAAATAAAAAAAATTAATGAAACAATCATCTCTATGTTGCATCATTGGTCCATATGTGATATAACTACTATTATATACAATTGCAAATAAAATGAAAATAAAATAATACATGTTAACTTTTACAAAAATAGCTTAGGAAATAACTTTTGGAAGTTACAAATCCTTTTTGTTTAATTAAAAAATACAATTATAGGCCACTTTTATGCATGCAAGATTTACAGAAATACATTCTGCCTTTCATTTTATCAAAGCTTTTCAAAATACACATTTTACAGTCCAAAATACCTTGAGAAAGAGCTGGTATGTCAAGAAACTGTCCAATTTGATACATTTCCATTGCTTCATCAACTACAGTCATCTGTCCTTTTCCTGCAACTATTGCTTGAACCTCGCTTAAACTACACATACTTGCACTACCCCGCATTATCAATGATAAATCCACTACATCTAGATAAATAGCATGTAATAAAACACGAGCATATCGTCTTGGAATCACAGAATCATCTAACACAATTCTTGTTGGTGCATTCAATGCGTAATCTGTCAAATCTTCACCAGATCTTGCCCTCCTTAAAAGTAAGTTTCTGAAGAAAGGAGACCTGGCTGCAAGAACTGCCTTGTGACAAGGAAGTTCATATTTAGTTCTGCTAAACCCATCGGAGGAACCAGCCTCTGAGGAAAAACTTTCATTTAAATCCAACTCACTAGAAAACACTAAAACAGCATCACTATAATCTCCCGTGTCTAGCAACGTCTGTAAATCCTGATCTAAGGGATTTGGCATTCCTAACTCTGTGGCAACTTTAAGTAAAATATCACGATTCTCAATATGAAGTTCATCGTGACTTAATGTATCTGTATAGAGATATCGAAGTAAAACTGAGAAAAGTACTATGTCTACTCCATGTGTGCGTAATTTGATGGGAATTTGTGGAAATGATTCATGGTTTCTAGATAGAATGTCTCTAAAGAATGGGCTCCTAATAGACAGTAGAGCACGATGTGCAGGAAAGCATACACCTTTGTAGACTAAATCAATATCTGTACAAAATTTAAAATCATACAAATGGGAAAAGTCATGTCTAAATGAATTTGCTGGTGGACGGGCTAAATTTGTTGTGATTGCTAACTCTTTCATTGCTATAAGAGCCTCATATTCATGAATCAATGTGCTTATGTCACGTACAGACCATGAAGAGATAAATTCTCTAAGGGCACGTCCATAGTCACATGATCTACTGTGCCTTCTTGCTCTTATCAATTTCTTTCTAAGAGTGGCAAATTTAGAAGCTTTTTTCTTTTTATCCTTTCCTGCAAGGTCTGTATCTGATACTGTGTAAGAGTGTGCAAGTCGTGAAAATGTTTGCAGCTTAGAAGGTGACCCAGTGCAAGACTGGCTTCCCTCTACAAATGAAACATTTGCTCCCATTTCTTTAAATAAATGAACTGTGGCTGCACATGCCTGCTATCTTGCCTTCTCCTAAAACATAAAAAAAGAATAATATAGAATATTTTTCAATGAATTTAGCCTTGAGAGGTTTGCCTATACATGTTAAACCATTTTTTAAGAGATACAGCTGCACTAAACACTGGACATGGTACTACTTAGACCAACTCCATCCATTTGTTTATAGTTAGTAAAGTGATAAAAGATATGTTCAGTGATTTTTTTACAAACTCATCAGTGTGGGTCCTAAGACTCGCTGGGCTATTAATCTACGAGTCCCAAAATTTAGCTGACTAATCCAAGTTACAAGGCTTAATATTGCGTTAGTAATATAAAAGGTATATTAACAATGGAATGAAGAAAAAATGAATTTGATTTCTACATTAATAACAATGCTTCTGATACTGAAATTTATATTCAAAACTGTCAAATAAATTTAATAAGTTTATTTCCATTAATTTAGTTTGAGATTAATCAAAACTTCATTTTCCTTAATATTTTTATGCTTATCTATAGTAAAGCATATTATTATTTCTTATCTGTAGAAGATTTGCAGACCTAGAATATGAATGACATAACTTGAACACAATTTGGTATTTATTACCAAATTCCTGTCAGACAGGACTCTCTACTCAGAAAAAGTATGCATTCAAAAGATGCACATTATTTGAAACTTTGCATCCACAGCAAATTCAATGAGTCCTGGACTCAGGATGCAGAGGTAAAAAAATCACTGTATGTTCTGATATGTCATCAAATATTAACTTTTGGTCCAAATATATATATCAAAGATAATTATACAGTAATTGTATAATACAGTTTATGTTAAGAAAAATAAAACATGACATTTATTACATATTTATTGTTTAGAATTTCTTTATAACTCGTATTGTGTAGTAATCTGGTAATAACATTCTCTTTTTCATATTTATAAGCAGGCCTCAATGAATTTTTCTAGGGTCACTCGCCCTACAGGACCAAAAAAATTTGTTAAATGTAGGGCGAGGGACCATCAAAAATTTAATCGCCCTTCATAAAATGTACTTGCGCACATTTTGACCAAAAAAAAATTGTTAAAATCAAAAAAACTCAAATTTACTATTTACCGGTCAATATCAATATAATCAGCTTTATACAATTAAATATTGTTTATAATACTTTTCCTTCTTTTAATATATGATCTTGGACATTGCCTGAGTACTTATTACATTCAAATTCTAACACATATATGTATAAAACATTGACAAATGCTGCTGTTTTATACTTAGTCATAAGGTGACTGGTCAATTTCCAGATTTGTTTGACAGTATTACGATTGAAATCGTGTCTGCAGTTTGATTCTTTTATACTGGTGCCTCATATTTCCGTGGTACTTAACTGTTTAACACAGACAACAAAAGTTAAAAGGATAAAATTCTGGAAAACACAGTGAATATTGTAGGATAGACATGTCAATTGCATCATAGTTTATTCCATTTAATGTTTGCATGTAAGCAATTATGTATACAACATTGTAATTAACACCCATCTGCGGCCTTGTGAGTAAATTTGTGTTCTCATATTTCCAAGGCAATTACATTTTAACAGTTTCAAAAGCAAAACCAATAGTAAACTTTATTTATTAGTACACCTATGCCTAGGCTCATCTGAAAGGGGCGATTTTCTCTTTGGCATTATCAAATACCTCAATATGGTTGTTTAACAAAAAAGATTTTCTTAAAAGGTATGAAATCTAAAAGAAAAATGGTGAAATATTAAATAACTTTGCTCTTAATCTGAATAAAATAATTTTTTTTCGTTCTATATGTAACATTTCGATAAAAATACAATAAAATAGTAAAAGTAAAACTACTGGCAGGTTCATTAAGTCTAGGAGAGACTTTAGACTGTTTAAGCCTGATACACTGTGGGTGGGAGTGGTTTCGTCAAACTACTGGTTCGGCGAACTAATCTTATATAATAAAACAGGTTGTGGTTTCGGCGAATTTAACTTATATAGTGCAAAAATATCTATTGTATAATGGGCACGTCAATTATTGTGGGTCTCAATCTGTTGTTTATCACACATTTTCATGCAATTAAAGACAAGATATTCTATATAATAGTTATATTTTACATAAAAGCATAACTCAACACAAATGATCTCAGTAAACAAACAACATCATAAAAATATATACATGTACGTATGTAAGTGAAGCCTGAAAAATGAAAAATGAAAAACATAATAAACAACTACTTTATTCATCTCTATATAAACAATTGACACATGCATTGTATTAAAAAGAATCTACTGTTTTTTTACATAATAAACAACAACAATCTGTTTTTATTCTTTATGCATCTGTCGGTGAAGTTGTTGAATTCTATTCCTGAATGTGGCTGCATAATCTCAGTAGTTGGGAAGTAGTCAGCATCTTGGGCCATCCTTAATAATATATATGTTTGCTATTGCCGACCCAGAGTTATAAGGAGTGGGTCGGTAGGTAGGCTTTTTTTTTTTTTATATAATTTTTACTGAACATAAGTTAATACGCTTAGTACGTTGTAACAGATTGTGGAAATTTGAGCTACACTATCATCATCGGCAAAACTAACATGTTAAACACAGTCAAAAACAATAAAAAACATGTTCACTAGTAATCATAACATGAAATAAAAAAAATGACTATGTAGACATAAATTCAAGCATGGTCAAATTACCGATGTGATAAACTAATCCTGCGTTAAATTCCCGTACGAACTGGAAAAATTATAGTGAATCACCAGGACATTTCGTTCTCATGGATGCATGATCATTACTCAATTTATTACAGGTCTGTAAAAAATAACACACGCAAGATTTGTCTCCTATAATTTCTGAATGGCGGATCGTTAAAATATTTCATTGTTAGTTCCCGAAAATTATCGCAGATTGTTGAAATTCCATAGCGCTAAAAGACACAAAAACACTCGCGCAAAAAGTAGCATCCATAGATAAAAGGAATATAATGTTTCCATTGTTAAATATAAATACAAAATTTACACACGAAATGACCTCTGACAAATGACTGGTCGGCTCTTCTGAAGAATCTGTGAATCTTTGATGTTTACACACCTGTAGTTGTTGCCGAATCATCAAAGAAATGCCGACACTCAATCGATTTCCACCTCTTTTTTATATATCAGAAAAAAAACTGTCATTTCTTTTTGTCAAGGAATGATTACACATGTTTAATTATTGCTCAAGTAAAAAATGTTGGATATTTATCGTGTCAATTATTGACATATTATTAATCGTAAGTGCATTTTGACATGGAGTTTAATTAGAAGTATGTAAATCTGTGATTTTGATTGTGATATTTTATTTACATTTTTATGATCTTGAAGATATTTTGCAATAATTGTGTCTGCTATCAAAACAATAATGCATATAAAATGACCACAGCTTCCAAATAATTATTTTTTCGGTAAATTTTATGACAGAATCCCCGCTGCTACCAGAAATGTTTTATTGCATGGGCTAAGTATTTAATCTGTGTCGGCAGTCATAAACAAACAAACATGTACTCCAAAGCACATTAAAATTACCACATGGTAAACTAGTGACCATATAAATGCTTCACAAATATTCATTAACTGAACAAACATTATTTTTAATCCCGTTTCCACACCTTAATTTGATACGTTCTATTATTAGTTAATTCGACTTAATTGCCGCGCGCATGCAGAGTACTGCGTGACGTAAGGAAAATATCCTTCCCTGGTTGGTTGCTATTTATGTAAATACTTTAAATAGTAACGCACAGAATGCCCTCATGAATGATCACTCGTTACTTTACATATTAAATGTGTGATTTTCCTCCAATTTTATTTTTGTTTTCGAGGGAATTTTTTAGATGGAATGCCCTTGCTGATTTGGCGGAAATAAAAATAAATCTGATTTTTTTAAGCTGAAAAAAACTTTTGAGTCGGGGCATTTTCGCTGGGTCGGCCGGCAATAGCAAACAGATAATTTTTTAAGAGTGGCCTTGTCCCAGGTGTCGAATAAGGCTCCAATATATATATATATATATATTTTTTAAATATTTTTTTCTCAAAACTAATTAATCAAATATCGAACAAATCATTATCAAAATAGGTATAATAAATAGACATACTTCTACAATGTATTATATTCATTGATGAAATTTTGCGTCATAATTTGATTACAACAAACATATTGATGATAAAACCACTTTATATACATGAACAATGCCTACTTTGCCTTCAATTACTATATAAAATAAGATCAACGAAACCACTTTCGCACCTCTTCATAAATTAAGTTCAACGAACCAGTAGTTTGACGAAACCACCATAATTCATACACTGTGCCTTGGAAATATGGGTACCACCGAAATATACGAGGCACCAGTATACCAAATAACTTTAATTTATACGCGGTAAGTCCGAGCGGGGCCAAAGGCCCCGCATGGGCTGTAGCGCTCTTAGATAACATGTATGACGTGTATCAAATCAAATGAAATCAAATTAAAAGTAAATGAAATTTTCAAAAAAATATATATCCTATACTTAATGAGCTGTGCAAAAATCCTTAGTTAACTGGGCGCCGCCATTTTGAAATCCTTTTGAGCTAAATATAGATATCACAGCACTTTTAATGAGCGTCTACATAATTCAGACTATTGCTAGCAGACGCATGCTTAATTACACTTCCGGTGAAAAAATGATGTACAAAATCAGAAAATTAACATTTATTTCATTCATAAGAACTACAGTAACGATGATAAATGTAAAAAGTTACTTTTAAATCCTTTTTGATAAATTTGCACATTAAAAATAACGTAAAAAAACAACATATGTGATTAGAGATTAACAGAAATTCGCGGACGGGTTTTTCCAAACGCCGACGCATGCGCAGTGGTCCCTCTTCCGATGATAGGTTGAACACCACCAATTTATTCGTTTCTGTTTACGGTACAAAATACCTGCATTTACTTATTACCGAATTGCATGATAGATCTGGTTAACATGTACACTAAACATGTTATGCTTAAATCATAAATCATAAGAGCTTTCCGCGCCATAGGTAGCACCTAATTTCATATTAAATGTTTAGAGAAACATCATTTCGATTGGGAGAACCTTACTCACCCTGCCTGGCGAATTTTATTAATTTTTTTCTTGACCCACCCAAACTTTCACTTGCAAAAGCGAGCGGGCAAGTGGATTTGTCATGGCCTGTTATTAAGTTAAAAAATTTACTATAATCAATATCATCTAAAATACCGCTAAGAATAAAAATGTGGAAGAATAGTCTGCAGATATGTAGGCAGTTCTCACCCAAATTAGGAGGATCACAGTCAGGCAGGAAACATCAGTGTAGGAACTGGTAAGGGGGAGAAGAGTCTAGGTGAACAGGTGAATGATGATGAAAAACTTGAAAGTTAACTGCTAAATTCAATAATTGATAACATCAAACAATTACTAACGTTTAATAGAAAATACTTAGGAGAATTGAATTCCTGTGATAATATCAAATATAGAACTCTCAAAACTTCAATATGAAGCCAAAATAACAAATTCTAAAAATATTTTTTCATTTTTAGTCACAGGAAGTAGAAATAAGTTAGAGCGGCAGTGAATACATAGAAGATATAGATTAATTAAATATATAAAAAACGATTCATTTACAAGTTTAAATAGGAACATCAATATTAATTTATCTAAAAAATAGGTTACCAAAAGTTTCATATTTATCAATTCTCTTTTTATATTTTTTTCCAATCAGAAAACGGTCCAAAGTGCTAGTCAATTTTTTGTGACGTCATTACAGTTGACATGATTAAAATTTCGTACAAAATTTACTAGTACAAGATGAACCTGTCAGAAAATCACCCTCCTGGTATGTTTACTAACATTATATATTTCTTTGAAATGTATACTTGGAAAAGAAATTGTATCTATAGCCATGTTGTTGATGAGGTGTTCTTTTTTATTCATTATTACAAGATTCGTACTTTGACTTTTCGAACCAAAATGGGCATTTTTTAAAAAAAATTGATAATTATTTTTAATTTGGAAGATATGATTAAGCAATTAATTTTAATAGTAGCAATTTAAGTTTATGGAATTTCTAAATATTACTACTTTATTAGGCATTTGACAGGTAGTGCGATGGTTGTAAGTGAAACTGAAGTTAACTCGTGTAAAAAATTATTACTATAATTTTAGGAAATTGAGTTTAGATTTCTATTCTTCCACTCAGTGTTGCATCTACAATTTCAAAATTATGGGGTATAATCCACCACTCATGCGGGGGAGTTGAATAAAATATGGGGGACATACAGTACAGTACCTAACAAACATTCTCCAATGTAGACTTAATTTAATCACCTCATATTTATCGGTATTTTCATGATATTTGTGCAATGATAATTGCCTGCAGACAGATTCAATGTATACTGACCAGTTGTTATTGACAGTTTAGGACACCTTCCAGGGCCTTTTTACCTTCTATAACAGGGGCCGGTATAGGGCTGCTTCCCCAAAGAAAATTTCTTTAAAATCATGCAGTTTTCCCCAAAAATTGAATTTACATCAAGTTTTTTCTTCCCCTTTTGCCAATATACTATGTAATTTTTCCCCAAAATTAAGGGCTGGGCTGCTTCCCCAAACTGTGAAAAAAAGCCCTGCCTTCACTCAGGGAGCCACTGGGTAAACAAACTTTTAATTGATAAAAATTATTGCCAATAATTGTTAGTTGGAAGGGGCACATAGATTTACCAAACAAAGGATTGGTGTCACCGTTTACTGTATATTGCAATGCTGTATGGGGATAACCATTCTGTTATTAGTGTTCTAGAATAGTTAATAATAATTTGACAATAAGATTATATAAAAATGTGAAATTTCTGGCTGCAAAGTAGATTATTATAGATTTTCATTTTTGCCGAGACATAATTCATCTCAGGGACAGACACCTTATTTCCGGGACAATCCTGGACGTTATGGCATGTATGATAAAATATTCTTCAATATGTTCATTGTTTTTGTACAGACTAAAGATAGTTAGTTATGTAAAAACATGTGGAAAAGACTATTAAATGGAGCAGTTCAGGTATATGCAGCCATCATTGAACATTGTCTTTGAGTGAAAGCGTCACCTTTTTGGTCCTGTGGTCATCTCCTTCTTGGTCAACTTGCTTTCTTATTTTCTTTTATTATAAATATTTTATATATTATCAGAAAATTCCTTACAACGAACTGAGTCAAAGACATCCATGCATATCCATTTTTACCGCATCATTCTGTCTAAGAAAATTAAATTGTTTGAAAAAGTAGCATGTCACCAGTCCTATAAACAATATAGCACTGCTTTGAGTTATTTACATTTATAATCTGCAAAGTGCCAGTGGCTGACATTAATTTGAATAATTGCAACTCTTTGAATATTTATTTATATAATGCTTTTCACACAGGATAAGAACAAAAGATCTATTGAAGTGTACTTAGAACTTAAGTTCTGTCTCAGTCAATTTAAAAGACTACTGTTTTGTACATTACATGTCATTAATTTATCTCTTGTTATTGTTGTTTTTCTGCAGATGCTCAATGTAAGTACATGTACATCTCCAGTGTTATGTTTATTTCTGTATAAATGCTTTTCATCAATTCAAGAAGTTTATGATTGCATGAAGTTTATAGAAACACGATATAAACATGATAAAAAATATATGTCCACTTTTAGTTTGTGATGCATAAATTATACTACATTTCATCTAGCTGAATACCACCTTCATTTTATGGATGGTTTTCATCTAGACCATAGAGATTTTTTTTGGAATAATCAGAATACTGGTGGTGGTATCATAAAATTAATATGGACATAAAAGAGATGATGTAAAAATCAGATTTGTAAACTTTTTCTCTATCTACACTTTGCCCATAATAGTTGCAAATTCAATGTTTTTAGAGCTAATTGTCCATCAGAAGGTCAGGCCCAAGCTGGTTGTGTCAATGGTTGTTATTAAATTTTCTTGAGTTTAAATTACATAATGGGATAAAGACTTTGCAACTTTTGGTTTTGTGGGTAGTGCAGATCAATTGCATATTGAGATAACCAATTTGAATTAACATTATATTAATGTTGTTATAAGTTTTCCTTTAATGTCCATACTAAAATTGTACTGTACCACCAATAATACTCTGGTTATACCACAAAAAAGGGGTCTAGTTCAGACTTTTGTTCGGTATAATAAAGGAGACTAAAATATCATAAATTTCTTATGCAAATATTAATAAAGTGTGTTAGATAAACTACTAAATGTTTGGAAACTATCATTAAAGGAACTCCAATGAGGTACAAAAGTGGAAAAAACATAAAATCTGTTGCTATTGCATAGACTTATAAGTGAAAAAATGTGCAAAGGATAATGCAGAAATATACTAGGAGCTTTTTTTAGCCAGATTTCAGTTGAAAAAAGACTTCATGTTTTAATTAAGTCTTTTTGGAAAAAAAATTAATATAAAAATGATTATTCTAGAAAAATGAATTGAGAAGATAGTCTAGTATTTTGCATTCCAGACTTGATTAATTGGTAAACAAATACATGTATTGAAGATATCTTTCTATGACAAAGAACCTCAGTGAAGTCCCTTTAACTGATTACATAATTTATATTTTTAGAACTTGATGCAAAAATTGACTGTTTTACATATTTAGATACTATATTATATAAGATTCTCTTGTAGGTTTAATTGCAATTTGCATTATGTAGTTTTGAGTTATGTGCATATTTTAATAAAATGAATGTATAAGGAACATTTAGCTTTGGGTTAGGGGAACACATATATTTTTCAGAAAAGAATGTCTTTACAAAATTATTTATAAAGATATAAAAGTCTTGACACAATTTTGAATGTTCAAAGTAACAGAACTTTAGATGCATTAAGGAGATACATGTACAAGATACATGTACATGTATCTTTGGAGTTGCTGTGCACCAGTCAATTTTACCCACAGTCTTAAATTGACATACATAATGGAGATGTCTTTAAAATATAGTGATCATTTAGCAATGAAGAATGCACATGGTGATGTTATTTGACAGTATTTTTAGTAATTTCTGACATGTTTAAGTGGTGAAATGCCACAAATGTGCTTTATGCTCCTGAGATTAATTTAATGACTGTCACATTGAGTTAAGATATATACATGTATTTCATTATTCACTAATAGCTAAACAAATTTATCTTTTATATTTTATCTGACAAATTTGTACATGTAGTAGTCTATAGCTTTTTAATTTAAAAAAAAAGTACTGTAGAAACTTTTGCTAATTTTGTGTTTTTCTAAGGAATGATGTTAACGCAGAGACAATCATTTATGCAATTATTAATCACAAATTTAGAAGTTCAATTCTCAATTGTTTCAAAATAAGTTTTCTTATACCAGAAAAATAAAAGTTCATTCATTTGAGATTACTTATTTCTTGGCAAATAACATTAATTGTTATTTTTATTTAGATCATAGCGTTAAGAAATGTAATTCTGCAATTAATGATTGACCTAACTAGTTAATTGCTTGAATTTTCTAAATTTTAACCATTTTTACAAAAAAATAGTAGTTGTTTATTGACAATAAAAGCATAGTACACTATGTTACTTTTCCCTAACGAAGATAATTGCATTCATTCAATATACTGTACAAACTGTACATGACATGTGTTGTAAGTTTTTACTTAATTTCAAAATGCATGTATAATTGATACTTCCAAACTGCAAGATTTTTTGAAAAGGAACATTTGACCTTGAAATGTAGATTATTTAAACATAGGAATACAGTATCCTCTAAATAGTAATCATTTCGGTGAAATTTTGTTGTTTTAATGTTTCTGCGCTATATAGTAGATTTAGAATGATAACTATTTTCTTTCTCCATATTTATCAAAGAATTAAGCTTCATACACATCAGTTGCTCCGGGCACTATTCTTGTTTCTTTGTTTGATCATTTCTTTATAATCTTGATCATAGTTATTTAAAATAAGAAAGTATATTAGAAGCATGAATGATAACTTTGTGGTAGAATATAATTATCATTATGTCAAGTTATTTCTGTATACATGTTAAACTCTTTATTCCATCTGTAAATGTAATCATTACCTGAATTACATGAAACAATCATGTACCAATTGCCCTATAGTCTATATTATGCTCTCTGAATTGGTATTTTATGTTTCTCTTAAATGTATCTGCAATAAAAGATAAGTTAAAGTTAGGTGGTTCACTGTTGAGTATGCTTATTAAATGTCTGTAAACTTTGATTTGCTTATCAACATTGTTCAATTTTAATTAAAAGTTGACTTTATTATTTGTATAATTCATTGTTTGTAGAAAGTTTGTTTATAATGTTAACTGTTTTATTATAAATTTGGTTTAAGGAGGCACTGTTTTGTGTGTGTAATTAATATTTGTGTACAAAACGTAGGCTTTAAATTTGTGTTTCTTCTCATCTAGATCAGATGAATGTGGAAGTTTTTGTTGTCATAGCCAAGTGGTAAAGGTTGCAGACTTTCAAAAAAATTTATACACTTATTCATTGAAAACCTGAAGTATACAACACAAAGCTATTTTGTAAGGTTATTTTCACATTCAGAACATTACTTAACTATACACCAAGTCAGGGATCACTCCATTAGTCAAGCCATTTGCTAACATTTTATTAATCTGGCTTCAAAGAATATGATTTATTACATGTTTATTTTTGCTCAGACTATGCTAATTAGATAAAATTTTGTATGAAATCAGAAAATTACATAGCTTAAAGAATTTTTCAGCCAGGGTAGCAGTATATCTTTTATGTGCTGGTAACTTTTATTTACAGTTTCTGCTAAAGGCATGACATTGAAAGGGGAACCAGTACAGATTGTTAGTGTTGAGGAAGACCACACATTCTCTCTAGATGAGGAGAATTTGGACTCTATATTGTTGAGCCCAGAATTACATGACAAAAAGGCTGTAGTTGTATCTGTTGCTGGTGCTTTTAGGAAAGGGAAGTCATTTCTTCTAGATTTCTTCCTCAGATATCTCAATGCAGATGTGAGTACACAATTAGGTTTTATATTTTGTATAGAAACCTTAAGTTTATTTACCAAAGCAATATTCCTTTTCATGCCAATTTTCATAAAATGCCCTAAAAATGGACATGTCTTAACTTAAAAGTGATTTAAGAAACTTTGCGGAAGTTATGTTGAAAATATGAAGTTTGGGGTGGCTGTTGAGTTTCTGGCTTCTTAGAGTTAAATTCCACTGTGGAATGAGTAAAAAGACAATCATTCATAGCTGATATTCAAATTCTTAATTTTCACAAGTTTTAAGCTACTAAAATAAACATTCTACAATAATAAAGAGTGACAAAAGATACCTAGTATCATTGATATGCTAATGAAAAGATGAATAATATTGCTTTGATGGAAATTTGAAATATTATATTTTGTCAGATTTGATTTGGGGAAAGATATTCTGTCTTCTTTAAAAATTAATATTTTTGTGTCACTTAACTTTAGTGTTCGCCAGATTGGTTAGGAGATGATGATTCCCCTTTAGAGGGTTTCTCTTGGCGTGGTGGTTCAGAGAGGGAAACTACGGGGATATTACTATGGAGTGAGCCATTCTGTTGTACGCTGCCAAATGGAGAGGAGGTAGGAGATTTACCTAATATACAATATGAATAATTGATCTGTATTAGACTACATTATATAAAAGTAGTTACAACAATATTTATAATTTAATAAAAAAAAGTCACAAACTCATTGCTTAGGTGATTGAAGTTTAGAAATTGTGAAAAAATGTATATTTTATTTACTGATAAAATATAGAAAAAAAACTTGTTTGAGTCTAAAAACAAACTTACTATCATACCTACTCAAAAGGCAAAACAAGTATGTCATTATTTCAGATTTATACTGAAATGTGCAAATGCTTATTGACAGCTATGTATATTGAGCGTATATTGCCAGCCATGCATGAATAAATTACTACATGAATATTCTTAGGAGTCACTCATACCAACTGTTATATATTGTAGGATTATGTACCTATTTCAGTACTATATGTGTATACCAAAATTGTTGCATGTCACATTTGAATCAAATATTAACATGTTCAGGGTGTAAGTTTTAAAATGGGCCTTAAAATTTCCCAATTTCCCAATTAAGGAAATTTTGGTAAGAAGTTTTAAAAGAAAGCATTGAATAAACTAGAACTGTAGATTTATTGACAGATACCTGTAGTAAGAGATGGTGGAAGTGATATGATTGGTTCTTTTAGAAAAGGAAAGTCATACATGTACAATAACTATGTTATAACATATATAATGATAACCTTACATATATGATTATAGGTGGCAGTATTGTTAATGGATACACAAGGTGCTTTTGACAGTGAGTCTACAGTGAGAGATTGTGCTACAGTGTTTGCTCTCAGCACTATGATTAGTTCAGTTCAGGTTTGTTGAAATCTTAGTGAATATTATACCCCCTTCCCCCCCCCCATCACATAATGTGATCTCCTTTCAAGGTCAAATGCCAAACAATTTTGTGACAGCTGTATAAGTCCTATACCCCTTGAAGAACTTTCTTTTAACTTGGCTCAAATGTTCACCTCAGCAAGATGTGCAAGGCCAATGTAGCTGTGCCAGTGAAGGTCAGGGTCTCCCTTATAGGTCAAAAATTTTTATGTTTTCTTTAAGGACTTACTTCAAATTTGCTATTATAATGCAGGCAACTCATAATATCCTCAAGGGTTAACTGTTAAATGCACATTATGCCTCAGAAACAAATAAATTTTTACTTCTTGTTACCTGAAAAAGGTAGCAATAGATTTTAAGTTATTTGTCATAAGCAAAATGTAAACAAAGTAGTATTTTGACTTCCATTCTCATTCATTATACTGGACTGGTATTTCTATATTTATTGCAGAAAGCAACAGAAGAAAAAAATGGTTCCAGTAATTTGCCAATGAGTAACTTTTTGGATACTATAAAAGAACACCAAATTTTAAAAGCTTTTGAAAAATAAAAGTAAAAGCATTTCTGAGATATAATGGGCCCTTAAATTACAACTTTCTTTGAAAGTTTGTATCTCTGAACTAGATCATAGAAATAACTGGTCCCAACTTCCTTACATTTTAATACATTCAGTGAGTGAACATTTTCTAAGTAGGATAAAAGTATACTTGTTGGCAAAAAATCAATATCATTTTGTTCCGTGTAATAATATGTAGGGTACATGTACCAAAAATCTCTTGGTTAAGTGAAATATTTTATTTACACATTTGTAAGGAAGAAGGATATAATATGCATTTGCAGTTAAGATATTGGTGGAGAAAAAAGTGAATATGCTTTTGATAAAAAGTACTGGATAAACTTTGAAGAAAAACTGAAAATGCTTTTTTTTACAGGTATATAACTTGTCTCAAAATATACAAGAAGATGATCTTCAGCATTTACAGGTAGGCTTGAGGGTTCTTTTATTTTAAATAGCATGTACCGGTAGTGTAAAATAAAGAAAGTTTTAGGGAATGTTGTATGGTATTTCGGGTCTTTTAAAATGACTGCCTCTTAACCAAACAATCTTTGGTTAGTTTTAGTTGGGTCATGACCTTGCCATTCTGGACACTGACTTATTTGTAGTTAAAAAAAGTAAGATTTGAGCATTTGTTGCAACTAAGCAAGGACAAATGTACATATATATGATACTCTGTATTTCTTAATCTTTATGTGTGCAATTGTTGGTTTAAACATTTTTATTTTAGCTCCACTGCGAAACAAGTTTTTGTGACTTTTATTAATCTCTTTCGGGTCAGCTTACTGGATCTAACCAGTATTGGTACTATATGAGAAAACATGGTCATAATACAAGTAGGGCTCAACCCGTAGTCTCTAGGTTGAGAGACTGACACCTTAACCACTAGGCCATCACTCCCCTGCAATTGTTCTTTATGTTGATGTGCGAACTGGCAACAAATCATAAATTCCATTAGCAATCAAACTGTTGATAATTTTATACTTGGAATATGTTGTTTTATCTTTCAGTTATTCACAGAGTATGGCCGTCTTGCTTTAGAAGCAAATGACAATGAATCAAAACCTTTCCAGGTTAGATATGCAGTGTTATCTCATATTGTATACTAGTAGATTATCTCATATCAAACATTTGACTCCTTGCCTCCATATGTTTTCATTAAAAAATATATTGATAAGAAGATTTGAGTTTTTTATGCAATAAACTATAAATATTATGCAGATAATTTTCAATCATATTCAGTCATAACTTGAGTTATTAATATGTTGCCATTGAAAAGTTATCTGTTTTTGTGATGATGAATATTTAGTTTTTACTAAATAAAAAGATACATTTTCTTTTATGAATAGACTGAAATCTCAGTAAATCGTACATTTAGAGACTAATACACCTTGATTATGTTAACTTTGAACTTTCACATGGCTGATTTTGTTGTACTTTTAGGTCCTGGAATTTCTGGTACGAGATTGGAGCTACCCATATGATGCTGCATATGGTGAAGAAGGTGGCAAACAAATGTTAGAGCGAAGATTAAAGGTATACTTCCGATATTATGATGTTTATATCTTTTAATAAGAGCTGCGAGTCTGTGGTTGAATTAATTGTTATATTTAAGCTCAGTAATACACTTTGGTAACAATGATTTTATGCTTCTTTTCTTCCTTATGTCTGCATTGTTGATTACATTGATTTTCCTTCTGTAATGTTGACTTCTAGACTAATTAAACTAACATGTGCTTGGCAAAGCTTCATAAGTTTTCCTCATCTACCACTTGATTACAAATTCAATAAAAATGTCATCGGGATAGAATATATTTGAATAGCAAATTTGTGTTACCAGTTGTGAAATTGCACAAATATTGGTGTTATTATAGATTTTCTCTCTCCAATGTCAACCTTTTTCATGTTGCTTTGAATAATTTGTTGGTTTAATACATTTGTTATGCTTCAACAAAGGGTGTGGGATAGAATGGTTTTGTCTGTAGGTACTGATTTACTTACACACTTTCAAAAGATTTTCTCATGTCTGTATATAAATATTTACATTCATGCTTCAATAAAATCTTGGACATAACAACTTGTCAAGGAAATGAGAAAGTTACTAAATCTTAGAATCCTACACAAATGTTTATTTGGATGGAATGCGTTATTTTCTGTATCAGATCTGTCACATTAGTTATGGCCCTTGATTAGTTAAACTGAACCAATATATTCATTATTACTAGTTTTTATTAAGTATTAGTAAATAATGTTAAATTAAACAAGGATTTATTGATATAAAAAAAGGAAGATGGATTATATGTTTCAGTGCAAAATAAAGAACCTGAAAATGTTTAATGATAATGCATAAAGGGGCACCTGAGGTCTTCCTCAAACAGTAAATCTGGAAAGTCAACATATTTTAAGATCTTTTCAAAGTGTCATGATGACTTAAAACAAAACAAAGCAAAACAAAAGTGGTTAAAACTTACTGTGGATCGAAATGATTATTTTTGGATCCTGACATATGGCTGACTTAAGAGAGGAAGCATCATTTAATGTTTACTTTTTTTGTAGATTTCAGACAAGCAGCATCCAGAATTACAACAGATTAGAAAACACATTCGTTCTTGCTTCAGTAAGATTGGTTGTTTCCTAATGCCACACCCAGGCCTCAGGGTGGCTACTAACCCACATTTTGATGGCCGGCTCAGAGGTAAAATGTTACATGGTTTTATAATTGATTAAATTAAGATTTAATAATAATCCTTTATAATTGTTTGCTGTTTTATTTTATTTCAATCCCGAGTTTATTGCTAAGATGCAAATGAAAATTTTGCATTTTCTTATTTAGATTATATAGGAATTATTCAAAGTATATTTGCTAATGATAATATGTCTTTAAGAAGATACCTTGGTAAGAGAATGGCAAAATGCATACATTTCATTGTAAACTATCAACTCTTGTTTCATTAAATGTCAGTTCAACAAGATGACACCTGTTATATCAATTTTGTTGTTAATTACTTTGTTCTGTGTAATTACAATGAAACTCCAGTGTATGATAAGTGTCAGTCACAGATGTTACTGTATGATGGGAATGGTCTATTTATCATTTTAAGAACACCATCAATACTGATGACATTGGGGAAAAAAGTATTTGCCATATGTCTAAACTTTTGAGAATTTTTACTGTAAAGGAAATTATACATTTAAAATGAAAATTGTTATTTAAGTATATAATAGTACAGTTATTAAAAGGTACTTACTTTATGGTAAGAAATGTACAAAAAAAAATGCAAACTAAGCCACACTGCTTGCTTTATTCATAATATAGGGATGACCTGGTTCAAGTACAGTTTCAAAAGTTGCTCACTTTTAGTTGAAGGTTTATAAATGTTAAGCAATAGTCACTTGACAAGCATTCATGTTTGTGTTTGTAGATATAGAAGTAGATTTTAAAGAGCAGTTACAGACACTTGTTCCACAGTTACTGGCCAAGGAGAACCTCATCATGAAAGAAATTAATGGTAGTAGAATAACATGCAGGGATCTTGTAGAATATTTCAAGGTATTTTCTTGTTTAAATTGTTGTTTCCAAGATTGGTTAAAAATATATTAAACTGATAAATGGTCAAATGTCAAGTACCTACTCATGAATCAGATAAAAGATCTTTTTTTCTTATTAATAGTATGTTGAAAACACATGGACAAAGATATGATAGTAACCATCTTTTTTAACAAGAGGTATTCAAAGTGATAATGCTGAATAATTGTTAAATTTCAGAAATGGAAAACCTAAGTTTATAATATTTTAAACAAGTGTAATACGTTTCTTGACTTGAGGTTGTTTTAAAAAATTTAAGCACAGTTTTGCAGGCAGTGCCTTTTAAAGTTAAGAATTACTGCAATAATTTCTAACATGTTAAATAATTTGTGATGAATTTTCAAACTATTTCGTAGTTTGTGTTAGACTAAATGTAGTGCCCAAAGTGAAACTATCCTTTGTGCTTGTTATTGATATACACATGTTTAATTTGGTTTAAGTATGCATTAACTTAATTGCATTATTAGTTTGAATCGTATATTCAATTTTTGCAGGCGTACATTAAGATTTACCAAGGAGAGGAACTACCAGAACCAAAGTCTATGCTTCAGGTAAGGTAATAAAACATAATAATAAAAAATACAGTCATACTTGACAAAATGTATTACACAATTTAAAAAAGAGATACATTTTCTTCAATACTCCTGCTTCTCGACGCTTGAGTCATATTTTCCTTAATAAGAATGGAATTACTAGTATTTGCTTTGTGTTATAAGTCATTGTTTTGATTCTTATCATAAAGAAATGTTTATGGCACATTATGCCTCAAAAAGGAATAAAACTGTTTACCTCTTTAGAAAGGCCAAAAAGAACTTTTATAACATTTAAAAAATGGGTTTAGACAATGTTAAATGTTTATTACATGAGCAAGGTAGTGTAGAAAGTGAAATATTTCTCTTAAAAGTAGCAAAATGTAAACAAGGTAGTATTTTGACTTCAATACAAAATACTAAATCACTGTAAATGTACTTATTGCTATAGGTATCAGAGGCAAAAGCTGGTTCAGATAATTGGCCAATAAGTAACTTTGGAAACTATAACAAAACACCAAAGATAAAAAGCTTGTGAGCAATAGAAATAAAAGCATTTCTAAGGCATAATGGGCCATTAAGATTTTGCTACAGTGTCTACAAGATTTTAGAAACATTTACAACCATAGTTATATTGCTTAAAAGAAACTGCTTCATAACATTACAGAAAGATAGGAAAGTTTTTGCATTTTTGAAAACAGTCAGAGTAAAAGAAATAGGTTAAAAAGAAAATAGGTTATGAAATATTTTGCCCCTATTTTGACAGGCAACTGCGGAGGCGAACAATTTAGCAGCAGTATCAGCAGCAAGAAGTCAGTATATTAAGGATATGGAGGAGGTATGTTTTAGTGGTATAAAATGTAAGCTTTTACTTTTAATATAAGGTCATGAAACTGTCCTGATCTCGACTGTTGATTGCCCATTGTCAGTATTAAGGACAATTCATTTGTCTGATATGATTCTATATAGATGTTCACTGCTTAGTCTTACTTAACGGCTTAAAGGCCCTTAAATTGGCAATGTGGCCAAGTGGTTAACACGTTGGACTAGTAATCTAATGATTGCTAAATGTGTGGTTTCAAACTCTTCAGGACCAAGTCGTTGTTTACGTGAGCTTATAGCTTTCAATTCAGTCAAACTAAAATAATTTAGTATAATCTAAATTGACAATGGGCTGTGTCAAATGCAAAGAAAGGATAAAGAACTTGGATGAGTATTATTTAAGCAAAAAGAAAGGAAAAACTATAAGTTATTATATAGTTAACTCACTTAACTTGACTTGTTTCAAAACTTTTTCTCTGTTTTATTTCCAAAGTTTGGACTGGGTAAAGACTATTCTTTATTTGTGAGTGTTGAAGTTGGATTGTAATGAATATTAATCTGCTATTTAAAGCTCTCAAATGAAGTTGCCTAACTAAAACTATACTTTGTGCTTGTAATTGATATACACATTTTTATTGTGTTAAGTCCTTGAAATTTTATTAAGTTGTTATAGTAGCATTTCATTATTATGAATGTTTTGGCAGGTTTGTGGTGGTGACAAAGCATATATCCATCCAACAGAGCTCGACAAAGAACATCAACGATGTTTAAGAAATGCCTTGGACACTTTCAAAAATGCAAAAAAGATGGGTGGTCCAGAGTTTAGTCAAACTTATGGAGAACAGTTAACAACAGAACTCTATGACCAGTTTGAAAACTTTCAAAAGCATAACGAAAGCAAAAATATATTCAGTGCGGCTCGGACTCCTGCCGTTTTGTTTACCGTCATGATCGTATGTTACATGATAAGTGGAATTTTCAGTGTTATTGGACTCGAGTCAATCGCAAATATTTTCAATTTTTCAATGATCATATTCCTGATGATGTTGAGCTCATGGTTCTATATACAGTATTCAGGGGAATATAGAACTTTAGCCATTCAAATAGATCAGATTGCCACGGTGGTCTGGGATCATGTAAGTAGTCTTATTTTTAGCTCACCTGTCACAAAGTGACAGGGTGAGCTTTTGTGATCGCTTTTCGTCCGGCGTCCGTCCGTCCGGCGTCTGTCCGTAAACTTTTGCTTTAAATGACATCTCCTCATAAACCACTGAGCCAATTTCATCCAAACTTCACAGGAATGTCCCTTTGGTGGTCACCTTTAAAAATTGTTCAAAGAATTTAATTCCATGCAGAACTCTGGTTGCCATGGCAACCAAAAGAAAAAACTTTAAATATCTTCTTTTAAAAAACCATAAGAGCTAGAGCTTAGATATTTGGCATGAAACATCTTCTAGTGAGTGTCTACCAAGTTTGTTCAAATAAAAGCCCTGGGGTCAAAATTGGCCCCGCCCCAGGGGGTCATTGATTTTCCCTATATGCATATAGTAAAAACTTAAAAAATCTTCTTTTAAAGAACCGTAAGAGCTAGAGCTTAGATATTTGGCATGAAACATCTTCAAGTGAATTTCTACCAAGTTTGTTCAAATAAAAGCCCTGGGGTCAAAATTGGCCCCGACCCAGGGGGTCATTGATTTTCCCTATATGCATATAGTAAAAACTTAAAAAATCTTCTTTTAAAGAACCCAAAGAGCTAGAGCTAAGATATTAAGCATGAAACATCTTCTAGTGAGTGTCTACCAAGTTTGTTCAAATTAAAGCCCTGGGGTCAAAATTGGCCCCGCCCCGTCGGTCATTGATTTTCCCTATATGCATATAGTAAAAACTTAAAAAATCTTCTTTTAAAGAACCATAAGAGCTAGAGCTTAGATATTTGGCATGAAACATCTTCTAGTGAATGTCTACCAAGTTTGTTCAAAAAAAGCCCTGGGGTCAAAATTGACCCCGCCCCAGGGGGTCATAGATTTTCCCTATATGCATATAGTAAAAACTTAAAAAATCTTCTTTTAAAGAACCGTAAGAGCTAGAGCTTAGATATTTGGCATGAAACATCTTCAAGTGAATTTCTACCAAGTTTGTTCAAATAAAAGCCCTGGGGTCAAAATTGGCCCCGACCCAGGGGGTCATTGATTTTCCCTATATGCATATAGTAAAAACTTAAAAAATCTTCTTTTAAAGAACCCAAAGAGCTAGAGCTAAGATATTAAGCATGAAACATCTTCTAGTGAGTGTCTACCAAGTTTGTTCAAATTAAAGCCCTGGGGTCAAAATTGGCCCCGCCCCGGGGGTCATTGATTTTCCCTATATGCATATAGTAAAAACTTAAAAAATCTTCTTTTAAAGAACCATAAGAGCTAGAGCTTAGATATTTGGCATGAAACATCTTCTAGTGAATGTCTACCAAGTTTGTTCAAATAAAAGCCCTGGGGTCAAAATTGACCCCGCCCCAGGGGGTCATAGATTTTCCCTATATGCATATAGTAAAAACTTAAAAAATCTTCTTTTAAAGAACCCAAAGAGCTAGAGCTAAGATATTAAGCATGAAACATCTTCTAGTGAGTGTCTACCAAGTTTGTTCAAATTAAAGCCCTGGGGTCAAAATTGGCCCCGCCCCGGGGGTCATTGATTTTCCCTATATGCATATAGTAAAAACTTAAAAAATCTTCTTTTAAAGAACCATAAGAGCTAGAGCTTAGATATTTGGCATGAAACATCTTCTAGTGAATGTCTACCAAGTTTGTTCAAATAAAAGCCCTGGGGTCAAAATTGACCCCGCCCCAGGGGGTCATAGATTTTCCCTATATGCATATAGTAAAAACTTAAAAAATCTTCTTTTAAAGAACCCAAAGAGCTAGAGCTAAGATATTTAGCATGAAACATCTTCTAATGAGTGTCTACCAAGTTTGTTCAAATAAAAGCTCTGGGGTCAAAATTGGCCCCGCCCCAGGGGGTCATTGATTTTCCCTATATGCATATAGTAAAAACTTAAAAAATCTTCTTTTAAAAATGCCAATGAGCTAGAACTTAGATGTTTAGCATGAAACATCTTCTTATGGGTGTCTACCAAGTCTGTTCAAATAAACAAATAAAAGCCCTTGGGTAAAAATTGGCCCGGGGGTGGGGGGCCTATATACAGGTGAGCGACCTCAGGGCCATCATGGCCCTCTTGTTTTGTTTCTTTATCAATGATACTTTTAAAGTGGTATTTTTTGATACACACAATTTTAGAATTATTTGCTCTCCATCAAGATTTTAAATAATTTCAGGCTTATTTGTCACTTATCATATGAAATATTTTATCTTTAGGTTGGTGTGTAGTGAAGATTTTTTTGTTGCCTTTGGTCAATTCTTATTTGAAATATTTACAAGAATTTCAGCAATAAAATATCCAGAATTCTTACAAATGATGTTTGCGTATCCTTCAATTTATATATTAGCTTAACTTAAATACAATCTAATTATTTTTCTGTGGTTATTTTGCCAGTTATACAAAATGATGGGAAAGGTAAAGCGAGAAAAAACTTTTCTGTTAAAATTGAGGAAAAAGATATATTATACAATATATTAATTTGAAAATGAAATGAAAGATAAGAGTTTAATCAATGTGGTTTTCCCCACCAGTAAAGCTGGAAAGTCAACATTTGACCAATGTTGATATGACTTAAAACCCAACCAAAAAAAGATGTTTGAAATTTTGAGATTCTACTTTAAAGTAAGCAATATCAAAATATTGGTTCTTCACAATGGGGAGAAGTTTGTAGTATATGTTTTTAATGATTGTATCATCAATGTTGTATTTCAGGCTCTTGCCCCTATATATGCACAACTTATGCAGCAAGGTGCTAACCTGGCAGTGAGACAGGCTACTCAGGCACGTCCAAAGAGAGACTGAGCAGTTACCCTGACATTATAAATATATAGATTGTACAGCAAAGACAGAAGATTTCACATTCATACATTTGTTACAACAAAAAAATTGAGAATAAAATCATTCATTCACTTTGAACATTGAAAGTTTATTGAAGAGAAATTGAATACATTTCCTACATCAGTTTTGTAAGTGATTTTAGAGACAGAAAGGCTAATCTGAGGCATGTTATTTATCAATCTTGTTTATTCTATGAACATGTATTAATTTTGTCCTTGAGGGATTATCTCCCTTGTTAAGAAAAATATAAGAAGATTTACATAGCAAGTAGCAGATCATCTTATACAATGAAAGTTAAATGAAATGGATGCATAACGTAAAAGTTGACTAAAACAATCAATCTGAGTGTATGCAATGGAAAATTGTGCTTGTATGCAAATAGTGATTTAAGGAGTCACATTATTAGTGCATGACATTAAGTTATATATAAAGTTACAGTTTTATATAAATTTACATTTGTGTTGACTGTATCTAGGTAAATTTATGAACATGTATGCCTGTTAACTTTTGCATAAATGATGTTGACAGTGGACATTGCATTTCCATGCTCAGTTGTTTATTTTTTCATAGAAATGTTATATCCACAGGCAATAATCCTTTTGCAAAGGTTAACTCCTTGAATATCACAACTATAAACATCATTTAATTGAAATAGAAACTTGAATCCTAATCTAATTGGAACCTGATTAACAAAGAAAATTTTATTGTTATTGATGTTTTTTCTCCAAAATTGACATTTTTTTTATTATTTGAAAATTGAATTTTAATGGAGTTGAGTTTATAATTCATTCAATAGATTATAAATAATTGCTTAACAGTGCATTAAATTGTAACAAGAGAAGATGTTTACTAATTATAACAATATTTACACATGCATTTAAATTGTTATGTTTGCTTTAATAATACTCGTAGATCAGTTTACAATACCTGTATCCCACTAGTGTTTAATTTGGTGCATTAATGTGTGCTTTATTTATTCAGTTAAAAGTGCTTCAAATTAATTTTATGATATATCAGATGTTTTAAAACAAACAAATTTTTGCTTTATTTAAATCTATAATGGATAACCTATAGTATATTTGCCATTTGTTTAAATTCTTACTATATAAAATATTAGTTAAATTAATATCTGTAAATAATTTAGGATTTTCTTTGGGTCATATTTCCGAAACAGATAGTTAAGAGATTAACATTAATTATTAAAATACATCCAGTAAAGAAAATAGGAATAAATAGAGGATATTTGTTTGTTTTGCATGTAAGATTGAAATATAATTTCAATGAGTGAACATCAGATGCAATATTTTCAAGAGTGGCGTAGCCACGAGTGAAAATATAGTAGCTGGTGTTCACGAATGAAATATATTTCAATCTTATATGTAAAACAAATAAATTTCCTTTTTATTTCATGCTTTTTAAGTGATTTTAAGTATGTTTTACTGATTTTGCCGCGTAACGTCGCGTATTCTCCTTTGTGACGTCATCACATCATCAATTTTGATATATAGTTCTGTTAAATTTCTCTAATTTTGTTACATTTTTAACATGATATATGGTGACATCGACTTTCTTTTCCTAAAGAAGCAAAATTTACGCATGACAACATTTATTTCTGCCTGTTATTCCATTTAGTTATGATTCTCTTTTCATCCGCATTCAGATATAGTCCGGCTACAGTGAAAATTATATTTTATAAATTTCACTAGTGGTTTATCAGAATATAATCATCTGATATATTACAATAAAACACTGGATAGCATGAAATAAAAGACACTCTCTAGTTTATGGGTTTTTTTTGACATATGAATTCTTGATAAAAATCATATGTATTTGATTATTTGCTTATACATGTATGATCAGTTTATGAACATAGCTTTAATATAGAGCAGACTTCCATGACCTTGACAGAGACCTCATTTTAGGTGGTAAAATTCAGTGTTATATAGGTAATTGATGTACATAAATAATAGAAATATCAGTTAAAATTTTGTACAGCCCAGATTTAACATGCTATTTGTAATCTGTAAAGTGCATGTACATATATCATCTTATTAGCAGATGTTTGACCTATTTTTCAAATAGGACAATTATGAAAAATATCATAAAATAAGAATTTTAAAGTAGAGAAAAATAACAAAGGTTTTTGCATATTTAGAATTAGTGTTTAATTTGTTCTACACCAATCCACAGCTTGTGAAATTTTAGCTCTTTTGAAAACTTGCTCCTTATTGCTGTTGAAGGTTATAGTTTTATTTTGGTGCCTGAAATAATGGAGGGAGGACACCTTAGGGAAGCTGAAGATCCAGTAAAACTGATAATGTAAAGCCAGAAAAGCTGAAAATGGTCATATGTGTTGAAGTGTTGGTGTAAATTGATAAATGTTGAAAGTTCTTGTCAACTTGGAGTTGAAATTAAGATATGATACAAGAGAAGAAGAGGTCGTCAGGGGTTTTATGAGCTGTGGCTCAGCTGAGTGAAATACAGTGTGTGTAGTTGAAATTCCTTTACCCATTACCATGCTGATTTTTATGAAATGGGGATATGCCTGCCTTTAAATTTGGGACAGTCCATTCGAAGTTAAAAGGTTTTAAATATCACAGCTTAACTTTGAGAAGTTGAAGCCTGATTAGATATCACTTTGTGTGCAGGCTTGTCTGGCTGTATATTGGTGACAAAGGCTTTTCGGTTTAGCATTGTAAGGGTATATTACAGTAAGTTACTATACTGGAAGTCAACAGTATGTGTTCAACCATAACACTTTCAACCTTATGTTTAAAGATTACAAGATGATCACTGTAGATTTAATATTGCACTTAATAGATTGTTTTATGAATTTAAAGAATAAAATGTAAAGGTTATTTTCAAATGATCAATATAGTTGTATTAGTTCTATAGGAGAATGTTATCTGAACGTCTAGTCAGTATTATAAGATTTTTATAGCAAAATAAAAGCTGAAATATATAACATAGAAAATTTTTATTTTGTGTTTTGAAGGTCCAGACTTCTCTATTGTTTTTGTTTTTTGAAGGTCAGACTTATATATTCTTTTAAATGAGATTGATTAGATTATCTCACTTTACTACTGATTAGCAATACAAACATATACTTTTTATGTGTTTTACATACAGCTTCAAAGCCTAGCTAAAATAACAAGGCTGTAACTGCATTATTTGATTATTTATATAATAGCATATTGTAACTCCTACATTTTCAAAGAAATTTGCATTGCTAAAATAAAAAGATTAACTTTTTTTATCAAACATTTTGTCTAAAGAAATCAACATGAATCAAAATATATGTCCTTATGATTTATGATTTTGTTTATGAAACCATTCATATTTGTTATTTTCTTCCATGAGAATTGTATAAAAGATCTTAACTGATCTTTTTCCTGCCATTGCTCTACAAAGATTGCCATATGACATTTTATACATGTTTCTCATTTTATTAAATGAATTTAAAAAACCTAAACATTTTTAGTTTGACAATAACCATAGATTATTTTACTACTAACCTCAAAATTATTAGGTAGTAAAGACAATATTTCACTTCCTGTCTTCCATATGTTCAAGAACCTTGAAGTTCTTTTGCTGTACTGCAGTAAATAGTGAATATTCCTTGAAGCTTCAGACTGGTCTTGTTTTCATAAATACCCACAGTTTTCATAAATACCCATAGTTATCGTAAACACCCATAAGAATTAGAGGCAAGAAAGTGTTCTTTTCATTTTTATGGGTCTGTGGGTTTTCAAAATAAATGAGAATGCTTTTACCATCCATGAAAAGTCAGTTAGGTGTCCCATTTATACTGTTTTGGTTGTTTTTCTTACCAAAAAGTAGGTATGTTACATTCCCCAATTAGGACCATCCTGTAACTGATTATATTGCTCACAAAGTACAGTCTTTATACAAAAAAAATAATCACTATCAAAATAACCATCCCATTTACCTTCAATGTTCTATTTAGTGCCACTTTATTGTAAGAGTTCACCATGTGCATATTTGTACTTGATAATTTGTAAAACAAAAAAATATTGTAATCACTTGGATTTTTATGTAATATAAATTGTCGGTCGTCTTATTTTTCCTTATTTGTATTAACAGTTTAGTCACTTTTTGTCATGAGAGAATTCATCTACATGTAGCATGTAGTACTTGAAAAATTAACTTTTCGTTCCATCTTCCAATCTCATTAAATCAGATCATAGTTTTTGCTTATTTACTCTTCCCTACCTAGCGAAGGGAAGTGTAGTGACAGTTGGGATATGATTTTAATGAGATTGGCCCATCTTTCAACTTTATGCCTCTTGATTGTTCATCATAATTGAAATTTGTACAATTTGTAAATTTTTGTAAGAAATAATTTTTGTGTATTTACATAGGTAAGATTATGTTTGAAGATATCTATTTTTGTACTTACAAGTATCCCTTCATTTCCATTCAGTAGACAATACCATGGTTTTATACATACATAGTAGCAGTGAAATTTCCTTTACCCAATGTTGTGAATTTCATATTTGTTATTATAAATTGTTATAATATGTGCTTTTTTCAGTATCAATATTTTCAAGAAATGGCTGCACAATATTTTATTGTTTAGAATGAGGGTGGATTTGACCAGACAAACTTAACTGGTCAAGATTGCTTCATATTGAAGTGTATACTATACTGTGATAGTAATTTGTATAAAAAAGTTGGTGTTTCTCAGTCATCTATAAAGGAAAGTTGCATGTCAGAGTTGCATTACTTTTCTACAGTCAAATAGAAATTTAAAGCTATACATGATTACTGGCAAAAATTTAAGGGCCAAAAATTAGATCAGTTCAAAATGGTAAACAAAAGACAAGTTGTATATTTTCTCACCAATTAGCATAGCTTTGTGACTTAAAGGGTGATTTATCTGAACTATTTAGCCTTGTGAAAAAGTCTTGTGCATTTATTTCTTGATTATTGTTTTTTTGTGTTTTTTTTTAGTAAAATTGCATGTTTAATTTACCCAAGAGTTAATGTTTGTTGTTAATTGTTATAGTACATTATGATTTAATAGTAGATGTAGATGGATTGTGATGACACAATTTATATATGACATTGATAGTCCTTCAAACTGATTCTACAAGTGTAACGAGTGTCTTGTAACAATAATATTACAATATTCTAATTACTAGTACATGTAATGAGTGTCTAGTTACAATAATATTATAATATTCTAATTACAGGTAATGAGTGTCTAGTTACAATAATATTATAATATTCTAATTACAGGTAATGAGTGTCTAGTTACAATAATATTATAATATTCTAATTACAGGTAATGAGTGTCTAGTTACAATAATATTATAATATTCTAATTACAGGTAATGAGTGTCTAGTTACAATAATATTATAATATTCTAATTACAGGTAATGAGTGTCTAGTTACAGTTATTTAATGATTTTATGATAATTGACCTGTTACAGCAATAGAATTTTTTCTACGTTTTTCTTATTAAGGCATTTTAATTTTTCTAGTAGTACTTTTTTGCTCAGTGATTTTTTGATGGTTAAGTGTTCCTCTGTTGGCTATTGAGTCATTACATATTTTGCAGTGACAGAGCTAGAAGTATGAAAAATCTTTAATATATTTAATTTCATTAACACTGACTTGAACTGTTTAAACGTAGAAAGGTAAAAAATAAGTTGTTATGAATCCTAAATGTTTTTTTACAGATTGATAGCTTACTGGTACAATTGAAGCTACTATAACAAAAGTAATATAATATTAATGATATGCATTATACATTTGTTTTCCTTTTCTAGTATACTGGTAATTGGTTACTACTTTAATTAAAGGAGCTTTACTGAGGTCCAAAAGTCTTAAAAATATGCAAATTATACATAGGTCAACTGGGGCTCTTAAAACAGAATAAATATGAAAAAGATTCAAAGAAATGTACTCAGAATTAGATTGAATTTAACTTTAATGCTATTCTAAGCCAAATTTGAGAAAAGGTAATTTAACCACTTTTCATTTTCAGTGGATTTTGCACAATAAAAGTTAATAATCAGAAAAGAAAGAGTGAATGATCTGTAATTTTGCATCCAAGTTATTGGTATTGAATTTCATCAAATTGTATAAAAATCTATAAAAAAAAAATAGTTCAAGTCCTGTCATATCAAAAAACCTCAATGGAGTGAGTCCCTTAAGATTTGTAAAAAGTTGTTGAGCTTAAGGTACATTCATAATGCTGTAAAATCTCTGTTAACACAAATAAAACTAACTTCTTGTCGTTCTGTTCCTATAGTAGTTGATAGATTACATATATTACCTTTAATATGATTGCTTTGAATTATATTATCAGATTTCAACCATTTTGATGTGCCAAAGTTAGTCCCTGAGTTTCCACAAACTGTTAGTGTGCAATACATCAAACTAAATGTTAGAATTAGTCATACAATTATTATTTTATCTCACAATTTCTTTCTCCTTTTTCTCCCTTTCGTACTTGTTTGGTAATATAGAATAGGTAATACAAATATTATACTATGTTTGACAATATGGTTCACCTTAAAGCATAAATTGTTAATGTTATTGTAAACCTTTTAAAATATAATTATTACAAAGTTTGTGAATTGAAATATGTTATAAAGGATAAACAATTTACCCATGAAATATTTTGTTTTTATCCTTAAATATACTAATCGTACAGAAATGATTGGCAACATATAAACTATTGGTGCATTTTAGAAATCTGTAATAAATAGTCACAAAGTGAACTTTTGAAAAATCAAAACATTTTAATGTTTACAGTGTTTGTGATTAATGTATGTCATGTCTGTTACTGTATACTCGAAGGGTTAATTTTTACTCTGTTATTATTCTAAATTAACATGGTTATTCCAAGTAAAAAAAGCATAAAATGAGCCGCGTCACGACAAAACCAACATAGTGGGTTTGCATCCGCAGGGTGGTCTGGATCCAAGCTGGTCGCAAACCCACTATGTTGGTTTTGACGTGACGCGGCTCAAATAAAGCATGCATGTATTATTTAAGAATGAAACACAATTTCTGATCAAGAAATATGTGGATGTTTTCTCAAAAATCAGATTTGTTTGTAAATTTCAAGTTCTCTGATTATTTATTATCTAAAACAAAATATAAGATGGTTGAAGGATAGAATTGTTGTTATTTCTTTTTCCTGTCTTTCATCAATATTCTTGTCATTCACTATATTAAGAACCCGTGGGCCCATTGACATTCATGTTGAATAAAGCAATTGACCTTCATTTAAAGTGTGAAACCATTCTCCTTTATATAAGAGTGTAAAGCCATTGACCTACGCAGAGTGTGAAGCCATTGACCTTCATATAGAGAGTCAAGTCATTGACCTTCATAGAGTGAAGCCATTGACCTTGCAAAGCCATTTCCTTTATGTAAAGTGTGAAGCCATTGACCTTCATGTATAGAGTGAAGTCATTTACCTTCATGTATAGAGTCAAATCCAACATTAATGTAGATTGAAGCAAATGACATTCATGTAGAGATTTAAGCCATTGACATTCATGAAGTGTGAAGTCATTGACATTCATGAAGAGGGAAGTCATTGACATTCATGAAGAGGGAAGTCATTGACATTCATGAAGTGTGAAGTCATTGACATTCATGAAGAGTGAAGTCATTGACCTTCATGAAGAGGGAAGTCATTGACATTCATGAAGTGTGAAGTCATTGACATTCATGAAGAGTGAAGTCATTGACATTCATGAAGAGGGAAGTCATTGACATTCATGAAGAGGGAAGTCATTGACATTCATGAAGTGTGAAGTCATTGACATTCATGAAGAGGGAAGTCATTGACATTCATGAAGAGGGAAGTCATTGACATTCATTAAGAGTGATGTCATTGACATTCATGAGGTGTGAGAAGTCACTAATCTTGTAGAGTGTGAAATCATTGACCTACATGCAGTCTGATTAAAATCAGTTCCTAATTAACGCTACGCATTATAACTTATGTAGATCTGAACTTAAGTCAGATTGATACTGTTGATTATTTGTGCCAAGTTATTTACAAAAAAATCAGCAGTAAAATCCTTCCCTGGAAGTTGCGAACTGCTTGTTGCGCTCTGCTTATCGTGTCATCGTGGTGATCATTTCTGCCAAATTATTTTTAGAAAAATCTTTAGTTTATCATTTACTGAGCAGACACGAAATTTGAGCTTTTTATAATTGACCCCTAAGTGTGACCTTGACAATGGAACCGACTGTTGCGCTTACAGGTCAAGTGATCACCATTTGTGCCAAGTTATTTCAAAAACTTTCAGCAGTTTAAAAGTTATAGACACGAAAATGCAATTCTTGATAATTTTAATTAATGCTCCACATCTTTTAATAGGAGAAAAAAAAATTAAAAGTAATGTGACCGAAAAATATACATGTACTTTCATTTACAAACAGAGCAGTTTTAGTCTTGGTTAAACGCATACAATGAAAAACTTATAGGAGCATGTATAGAAACTAATGTTTAGTTTGTCATAGATACATATGTAAATCGTCAGTATTATGTCTAGCTATGAAAAATGCATTGCAAACTAACTCGAAAATGCACTGAAAGATGATAAAGAGCACCTTGAATCAGGACAATTGATAAAATTGGCAAATAGATGGATCATAACTTGCTTAACAGTATTCTTCGTTAAGCCATTTGAAGATAATGGACAACATACGGAGAGTTTAATTGATTGGTAGTTTGCTTTGCTTAATTGTCGGACTTTGGATATGATCGAGTGTTTTGCTTTCATTGCTAATGACTGCATTATACAGGACAGAACCAAGTATGGTGATTTCCCGAGGATTTGGAATCACCAGAAGAACGCAGATGAAAATCAAGAGCCGAGAGACTTGTGAACATATATATAGCAAATCAAGTACAATCCTTCTTTAAAAAAACAAACATCATTCATAAAACTCAATCAAGGTTAAGACTACCATTTATGTCACACAGCACTAATTTGGCTATTCTATAGAAGCATGGCTAACAGATATAGATGCTGGTAAATTTGTTGGAACTGTATTTTTAGACCTAAAAATGCATTTTGATCCTGTCGACTATAACTTTTTAAAGCATAAGTTAAAACTTTGCATTTTTCAGATTAAAGTATCCTTCTTTTCAAATCTTATCTGTCAAACAGACCGCAAGTTGTTATTGTTGGACGTACCATGTCCAATAGCAGGCTTGTAACTTCTGGAGTTCCTCAGGGATCTATTCGTGTATGTATGTATGTATGTATGTTAATGCTTAATGAGGGTCCATCCGCCCTTCCGGGCACAAAAAGCAGCTTTCGCTGTCGAGTACGGACCCCGGACATGTCACCAGTCATGCCCTTAAAGTATGTTATAGTTCTAAAATGGTGACCTATTTGATTGGAATTCAGTAATTCACTGAATGAGCCCAAAGAAAATGCTATTGTTTTTAGATTTATTAATGAAATAATACACGGGAGGCCAATGAGACCATTGTGTGCATTATGTTGTTAAGTAAAAGAATGTGTTGCTGCCTAAAATAAAGGATCAAGAAGCGGACGGGTAAGGTTTTCCTGACATATAGACGCACGGACAAGCAATGGTGCTTCGGACCGGTGTTTT